TGCAACAATTTACCTGGTAAGTGCTTACCCGGGTAAGAGTCGTCACCCTCACTTACCGGGTAAAACTCTTCATCCTTATCATCGCTCTTACCGAGTAAGATTCTTGCCCCTTGCCATGTTCATCCGGTGAGGAAAACTGGCCAATAAGTACTTATCGGATAAGCATTTAGTAAACGGCCCCTTAGGGCGTGTTTGTTTTTTCAAAATTACCTCTTAATATCTCTGAAGTTTGATTCGTTCAGATATTTAGATATTAAAAGCGTTTGTTTTATTTCTAAAATACGAGCTTAAAAGCTCTAAATGTCATTTGATATTTTAAGTGGTAAACGTATCTCTTAATACCTCTTAATCCTAATCCGCCCTCTATCAAATGATTCATATTTTGGGGGCTGGAAAAGATTTGTTAGCAAAAACTATGTATCTTTTATACTTTTGTAAGAAACTATTTATCTTTCATATTTTTCAACTAGTTTGACCGATTCAGATTTCAAGATTCAGACGTAAAAACAAACAATCTTACTGATCCAGATTCCAGATTCCAGACTTCAAGACCACCTCTTATAAATCAGAAGTGAAATCAGACTTCAGCACCTCTTGAAAAAACAATCGTCACCTCAGAGATTTACAAATTTCATCTGACCTTACAGTTCTTTCTCAAAACCAGCCTTTAAACCATTGTCGTTCTGATATTCTTTTAACACTGTTTCTGTAATTTTATGTCAAATCATGAGTATTTTTTCTTGTATGAACAAAACATTAAAAAACCTTAAAACAATCAAATAACATGAACAATCTTTTCAAATAAAAGAAAGGTAAGGTTCACTTAGTGTCCCATGTGCCATAAGAAGTACACTTTCATTAACTTCACATGTTCAACTACAACTTCTCAAAAAAAGGTGTGTGGTTCCCTCTCCTCCATCCAAATACCCTTTTCGAAATCGAGCTTTTTGATTTACGTTAGATACGCACACAGATATATCAGAGTCGAAAATCTGGTTAAAAACGATTGCAGATCATACGGGTTTGAAGTTTAAAACAACGATATATGTATGATCGAATAGACATGTCTGTTTCAAACCAAACCCTGATTTTGATGGTTTAAGTTGGTTAGGTTTTATGGAGCATTAGGTTTTTAATACACACTTTTCAGAAAAATGATTAGGATTAATAAAACTCAGTATAAAGAGTTGTTTGTTTACTTTCTAATAGTTTCATTAAGAGGCAACATCTGAATTGTTAAGAGGTGAATCTTATTTGGTAAAAGAAAATGTATGTCTCTTAATGGGTTTGTATCATGGGTCTCTCTTACCCATTGCACCCTAATTTCATTGTAAACAATTACTGAACAATTATATTTCATCTTACACTATATCATGAGAGTTTCTTAATCACTCTGATCACTTAATCATTCTGCACCAAACCATTCAACAACTGTCAAACAACCCCTTATTTAGAGGAACTTTGTAGACCAAAATAAATAATATTGATTTTTTTTACATATATTTCAGTTAAATCTTTGTAAAATATGTTGAATTTATAGTATAAAATAATATTTCTCTTTTAAAGTATATAAATATATTTTATATACGACAAATGCAACAAATAAACTCACACTCTCTCCTTACTATTGGTGAGGTTTGAACATCTGACCTCCTAAGAAGCAAAAAAACTCAAATACCGTTGGGCTAAAAATAAATAATATTGATTTTTTTTTTACATATATTCAGTTAAATTTAACATGATTTTGATCTAAAATCGATCATTAAATATACTCATCATTTAAAAATAATATATATCTCAAATTAAATGTCCACAATGAAAAAGATACATAGTTTCAAAAACGTAATGACTAAATTTTTAAATCAACAAAAAGACATTTTTACCCTTAGTTATAGAGAGTTCAATTATCTTCATCTCATGATTAAGAGTGGAACGAGAAATTAGATAAATACTTTTGAAAGTTGACACTTATTTTGGAACAAACTAAAATAGTAATTTAGACACTTATTTTGAGATGAAGGAGTAATAATTAAAAAAATGTATAAGAACTTTTACGCATAATAAAATAGTCTCTCTAACTCGGATAACAAATTAACTCTTGTGTAAGTTATTTGTTGTATTTGCCGTATATAACTTTTATAGAGAATAAAACAGATGAAATAAAAATATATTTTATAAAGTGGATGGTTTTATTGAATAGTTCTAAACATAGGATAAGTATAGGTACATCCCATGTAATATCTAATCACTCACCCACTTTTTTGGTTTTGTATTTAAAATGAATAAATACACATATATATATATATAGAGAGAGAGAGAGAGAGATGTTTTTACTTTACAAACTATATTATTTTTATAAATCGTATAAACCTCATTCAATCAATCATAATTTTTCATTTTTTTTTGTAATTATAAGAGATTGATTAATCATTTTTATTGTGGTGGGTGTTAATCATGGATATTATCATCTTCATTATATTAATTTTAAATAAATACATTAAAATTTCATAAGTATTATATGAAACAACTTCATCTAGGAAAGTATTAAATTAAACAATAAAATCGACGGATAATGGTGGTTTACATGGTTGTACAAATATAGGTGGTTTGCATTTGATCTCTCTCTATATATATATATATACACACACACACACACACACACACATAGAGGGTTGAGGATTGAGTTCTGATGGGAAGTAAAGTTACAATGAGAAACGTAAAAAGAGATCCCCATTTTTGATCAATCTTAATTGAATGTCTACACTAATGAGGTACACCAAGATGCAATCAATTCCCTTCTAAAGCATAATTAAGTGGTGGACGTAAGATTAAAAGTGATCAAAGGTTCAGATCTTTTTTTACGTTTCTCACCTTGACCTCCCTTCTCACATGATCTTTCGCCTAGGGTTGGGTTATTATGGAAAAAAAAAATAATTATTCTCGTGGAGAAATGTGAGAAATATAAACTTTCACATAATATAATGTAAACTTATAACCGTAAAACTTGTAAACAATTCAAATCCAATTGAAAGTTGATACATTTACAAAATATAACGTAACATTCACACAATATATAAGAATAATTTCAGTATTTATCATGCTTCTCTCGAAAATATAGAATTCTGTTGTCATCTCATATCTTATATATATATATATATATATGTATGTATATATATATATGTATGTATGTATGTATGTATGTATATATGTATGTATGTATGTATGTATATATATATATATGTATGTATGTATGTATAGTGGGAGGTTCAAATAAAAAAAGTAAATACTTTGAGAATGTAAGAAATAAAAATTCATATGTGAATCATTAAAAAAATCAATTTGAAGATGCATATGTGAACTCGTGCCAATGATATGTAATGTTGGTTTACATATGCATTTTTAAATAGATTTTTTCAATAAATTCACATATAAACCTTCATTTCTTATCTTCTCACGATATCTAACGCTCTTATTTAACCATCCCATAATATATATATATATAGGGAGGTTCAGGGGAAAAACCTTAAAGAATAAAAAACTAAAGAACATTCTAGTAATTAAAGTTGTTTGCTGGTCTTCACGTATGCATGTTATGCGAATATGCACAACGGACAAATTGTTACAAATTACTTGTATGTACATATGCATAACGTCCAGATTAACGGTTACCAGGGTGTTCCTAATTTTTTTTATTTTTGTATGGTTTTCCTCTGAACCTAACCCTATATGTGTGTGTATGACCTTTTGAGAACCTATGAAATTGTCATAACCTTGAGAACTTGTGCATAATGTGTTATTTTATATGATTTTTGTTCCATCTAAGACTAGGATTTAGATTATTGATTAACAAATATTTGTTTCACAATGAGTTTGTTTTTCACATGTACTCGGTTCACAATGTGCACATCTTTTACATGTTTGTGAAATAAAAAATACACGTAAAAATGTTTTACATTGTGAACATAATACATATAAAACAAAAACATTAAGGTAAAAAGTTCTCATGGATTTCACAAAATTTGTTGTTCTCAAATAATTAAGTATATATATATATATATATTAATATTTATAAAACCAGTATTCGTTAGAATAGAGAATGGTTGAGATTGATTTGTATGATTTATAACATTTCCATTGTTTGTATTTGTTTTGTCTTGTATATATACATATATATATATATATATATATATATATAAATAAAAAACTAAGAAACACCACGGTAACCATTCATCTGAACCGTATGCAAATGTAACAATTTGTAAGCAATGCGTCTAGTATACGCTTGTACATAAGCTTCAATTAATTATATGCACATATGTATATACCTTTAGCCGAATGGTTACTAATTATATATACCGCCGGTAATCTCCCTCTCTCTATATTATATATATATATATATATATATATATATATATATATATATATTTGAGATCATGTGAGATCAAAGTTTTTCATGAGATCCGTAAGACCAATTCTTAACCATTGGATTTAGATCTACAATCTGAACATTCATAATAACAAAACTGCCACGAGACTTCTCTAAAATCACGAAATTGCCACTGTGCAACTTTAGACTATTAGGGTTGGGTTCACGTGAGATCAAAGGTTTTTCCTGAGATCTGTAAGACCAATTCTCAACCCTTGGATTAGATCTACAATATGACGATCTGAACATTCATAAACGCCACGAGACTTCTCAATAATCACAAAAATTGTCGCCGTGCAACTTTAGACCATTAGATCATTAGCTTATAAAGTTGATCAATGAACATAAATTTGTCTTAAGGGTCTCACGAAAAACCCTTGGTCTCATGTGAAACCAACCCTATATATATATATATATATATATATGGATGAGCCTCTTTCACTTCGTGTTAACGTGAGCCACCTACACCAACCTTCAAGCCTTCTTCCACCTCCATCATATCTCGATTATGCGCCAAGGAAACTAATCGCCCCTGGCCCTGCTAATAATCCCACCACCACTTGAACCACCCACACCCATGAGCACCTCCGCCAACAGCCGTGGTCCTACCACCACCAGAAAACACCCTATATACCACGGAATCCGGTGTCGCAGCGGCAAGTGGGTGTCTGAGATACGCGAACCACGCAAAACCACCCGCATTTGGCTCGGAACATACCCAACACCGGAGATGGCCGCCGCCGCCTACGACGTGGCGGCGTTGGCTCTCAAAGGTGGTGATGCTGTATTGAATTTCCCGGACTTTGCTCGGTCTTATCCGGTGCCACCGTCACCGGAGCCTGCACTAATACGGCGGGCGGCGGAGGCTGGTGCAGAGTTCGTGAAAACTTCCCAAGGTGATCATAGGCCGTCCGGTGAGTTTATGGATGAAGATGCTATTTTTCGAATGCCGAATTTGTTGGTTGATATGGCGGAGGGGATGATGATTAGCCCGCCGCCACTGCCGCCGTCAAGTAACGATCATCGGACGGCGGTGGATTCTCCCGATTCCGGTGATCTATGGAGCTATTGATTTCATGGATTTTTTAAATAAAAATAAATGGACGTGAGAGAGCAAGTAGTATGCATGCATGATGATATTGTATTTGAGTATGAAGTGTTTTATTTAGTTTTTAGAAAAAAATATGCAATCTTGATTGACTAATCTGGATAAACTCTGATTAAATGTTAACATTAATGAGGTATATCGAGATGTACTAGATCAATTCTCTTCTAAAACGTAATTTATGGGTGGACATGAGATTAAAAGTGATCAAAAGTTCAGATCTCTTTTTACGTTTCTCACTATAACTTTTACTCTCACACGATCCTTCGCCTCTTGAATTGATGTATGTATATGTGTGTATATATATATATATGTATATACATATACATACAACGTTGGGTTCCGATGAGAACGAAAATTATTGTGAAAAGGGTGAGAAGTGATTTCCACCATTTGATCAATCTTGATTGAAAATCAACACTAATACGGTGCATCAAATCAATTCCTGTGTGGTAAGCACAATTCATGGGATGGAGGTGAGATCAAAATGATCAAGGGTCCAAATCCTTTTTTGCACTTCTCACATTAATTCTTACTCTCACACAATACTGTTTATATATATATATATATAGAGAGAGAGAGAGAGAGAGAGAGATGTATGCTATATATAAATGTTTGTTTTGTTTGTAAAATTTCAATAAAGTATTTAAGAATGAAAAATCCAGTATAATAACATCTGGTTTATTATGTCTAAAATATTTAAGCGTCTTAATAATATATTTTATAAGACTTAAGTTTATAGAATCAGACAAAAAAAACGTCTTAATAGCATATTTTTTAGAACTTAAATTTATTGGATCAAATAAAACTGTCCTGATAGCATATTTTGTAGGAATCAAACAAAAAAGTGTAATATCTAAAAGTGTTACAACAGCTTTATATGATGTTTTTTGGATTTTAACAAGTTTTTTAGAACCATTTTAAACAAACTGTTGTATTAGTTATTTTATATGATATTATTTGAAAAAGTGTCCTATAAACACAAATGTCTTATAAAAAGATGGGTTTATAGGATATTTTTCTCAAAATTGTCCTATAAAATAGTACTTAATACGACATTTCATTTTTAAAACGTACTAAAAATTGTTAAAACACCTGAAAGCGTCATATAAATTTATTGTAACACTTTTATAACGTTTCTGTCTTTATCATCCATGATTGTTGCGGAGATCCGTATTGCCCTTATCCACTAGAAACCAGAAAAATTAGAGACAAATTGATTAAGACAGGAGGATTGTCATCTTAATCGTATGTTGAAGTGTTAGGTCGGTTTTACAATTTGAATAAGGCTCCGTTTGCAATGAGTCACAACTGCATATACCCATCTAGAATGTCAGATCTAATTTTGGGCACAAAGACAAACTTTTTCCATAACTTATTGCAGTTCTGTATCGACCAGATACTGACAACCAAACATGTACTTATGTAACGACATCGTATCCCATCTCTATATATGAGTCATATAATTTAGAACGAAAATCAAAAGGGTTTTACAGATCCTAAAACATGGTACCAAAGTTAGGTTCAATACGTACTTTTGCCTTTGTTCTTAGGGCATCTTCTAACCTCTATGTGTGGTCCTCCCACACCCGATGACGATGAGGTCCTTCTGTTACTATACGGCAAAACAATAATCTTGAAATTGCAACCACAAGGGTGGTGTCTGATTAGTTTGAGGCTATCTTCAAAGGTCAAAAGTACCAGGAGGTCTCAGGTTCAAATCCAAGGAGGAATAAAAATCCCCTTGTGGCCACGGAGGTTCAAATGCGGTGAATCTGAGCTATCTGCAAAGCAGGTGGTCGTCCTAGGATTAGTCGGCTCGCATAGCGGGTTGGGATATCCAGGTTAATAAAAAAAATATTGAAATTGTTGTAATTTTGAATTTTGAGTTATGATTCATTTGATAAAGACATTACTTGTCTAATTATTACGATTCCTGTGACAAATTTCACAATCTTTAGACTTCATTTATTACGACCTAATAGATTTGCTTGTGGTATATGACGGGTTTTTTTTACGGAATTGGTCCTTAGGCTTCATATATATTACGTTGAACACCTTGTGGTTTACATATTTTCACGGTTTTAGTCCCTGGATCAAACAACCGTCCAACAAATCCGTTAAACTTGAGGGGCTGGGGCCAGAATGTAAACATCGAAATTTGGAGGGCTAGAGATGAACATCATTCATCTTTTTCTCCAAGACTCCATCCCTCCTGTGGATATACATTTGACTATTGTAACACTTTTAGATAGAACATTTTATTGTTTTGTCTTATAAACTTCGTATAAACCATTATGTTGTTGCAGTGTCTATTTTATCATATCTGTCAGAGTATAAAGAAACTTTCAAAACTTCTACTGTAATGTAGCTACTGAAGATGCAAAAGAGGAGATCAGATAAGACAATATCTTAAATTCAAGGACGGACCTATAGTGGTGCATACGGTGGTACGTGCCACCGTATTATTCCTTTGTCGAAGGGTAAAAAAAAATTAGGTTCGTGAAAGGTGCAACCATATTAATTTGTTGTGTGCCACCGTATGTATTTTGAAACTACAATGAGTGCAAGTTTTATTTGTTAGAGTTGATTTGCAAGACTTTTATTCCACCCCAGACCCAAGTTTGAATCCCGCTAGTGTCATTTTCTTAGTCAAATGGTGTCACCGTTTGAATAAAATTATGTATATTTGTTTCTTATAGTCAAACGGTGCCACCATTTGAAAAAATATTCCTATATTTTTTTTTCTTATAGTCAAATGGTGTCACCATTTGAAAAAATTTATGGGTCCGTTCCTGTTAAGAAAGAGATCCAATGGAAGAGGATTCCTAGAAAAAGAATATAACATGGCATATACCTCTAATTAGAAAAGTCTACTCATCACTTTGAACATCAATCATCTTCATCTTCTTGATTAAAAGCATCTCCTTTATCTTCATCTTGCTACTCCAAGAATCTTTACTTTGCATACAAGAATATCCATGGCATAAACCCAACCTCATTACTCTTTATTTTCTTCGATTTCGGAACCCTAATCTATTGAGTGATCGAGCAATAAGCGAACAGGTTGTAGGGCTTCTCTTCTTTGGCAAACGGATATCAGTCGAAACCCTAAGTGATTGAAGCTTCAAATCGTGTTTGTCGAATGAATTCGTAGCATGTATATATATATATATATATATATATATATATATATAAGATCAGGTTCAAACAAGAATATGGTCAATCATATATGATTACATGTAATCGTATATGATACAACACATGTTGTGTTGACGTGCCATACATGGGCGACCCTTTGGTCTCATTTTGACCAAGTTGGTTGCGTACCTTCTGAACATGTTGTATCATATATGACCACGTGTTCATATCACATGTAATCATGTATGATCTTGAAACTTATTGCCTTCTTTGATCGACTTCTCGTATGATTCTGCACACAGACACTTATATAGAGGGAGGTTCAGAGAAACCCCAAAAGACGAAAACTTTGGAAAACTTTGTTAACCATTCATTCATCTTTGGACGGTTTGCAAATGTGCATACAAGTAATTAAAAGTGTTTTTTGGTTTTTATGCATGTGTGCATGTATGCACATGTACATATCAGACAAATTGCTTACGCTGATAAACGCTTACCAAGGTATTTATTAGTTTCTCATTTTTTTTTGTGGTTTCTGTGTGTGTGTGTGTTTTGGGAGGGTTCGGTTAGAGATGTTATAATTTGCCAAAGGAGAGTTGCCCTGCAACTTGTTTGTTTACTTCTGAGACAATCAAGAGCGTGAATCAAAGCTTGGACCAGTACGACAAAAATGGCGAAAGGTGGTCTTCTGGTTATTCACGGCGTCCAGCTATCCACCGCCATCCTACCACCGTATCACCGCCATTATCCTCGTCCTACAAAACTACCGAGTGTTGCAGGGTGTTTCTTTCATGCAATCACTTCACCACCGCGGAGCTCGTTACGTTCATGAATAACATATAAATGCAACCCCCCCCCCCGAGAAAATCGACATTATCATCTCTCGTCACAAATTACTATATTCTAAAACCTGACACAATTTACCGACTAAAATTCCGTAAACATAGGACAGACAATTAGTCGAGTTCCGTCCATTCTTTGTACTAAAGACTACCCAAGTACCCTTTTTTAATCTTATTGACCAAAAAAAATCTTTTTTTTTATAATCCTTAAAAAATCAAATATGAAAATTCTAAACATGTTTTTATATATTATAGAAACTAGAAGGGTACTCGCGCAATGCAGCGAGATACATCGTGATTTTAATATTTCATTTTATTCTTTATCTCAGTCGAT